CACCCCAATGAACAGGGATTCTGAGTGCTTCCAGGTATTTCCATCTGTATGTAAATTGCACAAGAGCTTACACGACCGGTGAAAAGCTGAACGGATGGAGAGCTGATGTGAGCAGGGTAGCTGACGATGGCCCCAGCAAGCCCTTGAAAGTGAGAAGTGACATCCCAGCAAAGGAGCCTCTGCCTTTCTACCGCCGACTGGGAAGAACAGAGGGCTGCCTTTCTGAAAACACCAGTCACGCTCGCAAACCACTCTCAGACGTCCCTTTCTGCACTGTCTGACAGTGTGACACCACCATAACCCAGCAGTACTGGATTCCAGAATTCCAGCATTACTGGAACCCACCTACTCACAGACTGAATCATGCTGCATGGGCCCGTGATGCTTGCCATTTTATAGGCTTTGATTGCTGAGGTGACAGGCAATAGCACACTCTATTTTACAAAATGAAATAAATGCACAGAAAGAGAAATCTGGTGCTTATCAGAGAGCAGTGCACAGCCACCTTCAACCATAGAGAGAGATTTTAAAAGTCCACTGATGGGACTGACAACGCCCCCAGCAGATGGCAGGACAGATACCCTGGAGACCAGATAAATGAGTTTCGTCTACCGCCCCTGCACAATGGAGGTACTCATGTGACCCTAAAATGTGAAAACCAGACAAAAGAGTGAAGCACTGAAGCTCCCTCAGCCTGGGCAGCTGCCTAGCGCCCCCTCATTCCCACAAGGTCCACTGGGCTTTCACTTCTGAGCATTAAAATCCAAATCGTAACCATGATAAAGTCCCTCCTTTTCTTCTTGTTATAGAAACATCTTTTCTACCATTAAATCAGCTCTATTTTAACATCAAGAGCATCGCTGGCACTGACTCAAATAAAATGGCATTTACTCAAGGGAAAATCATTAAGCTATCATCTTCCTAGTCAGTCCCTGCATTAGTGTGGCAACAGCAACTCTACTGCTGTGTTTTAAAGGGGCCAAATCAGAAAAGATTTTCATATCAGGACGCCACGTTTTGGAGTATGACTCAAAATGGGTAAATACAACTGTTTTTCGTATTAACCGAGGGCCCTCAAAGGAAGAAACCGAGGCACCTAAACAACGGAACGTGACATGCCAAAAATGAGCAGATTTTTAAAAGACTATTCTTCAAAATGAATGACTCAAAATATTATTATTGATGAATGTGGGCACTGGACCTATATAACATTACACGAGACATTACCTGTTGCAGGATCAGATTCAATGAGCGTGTGCTTTCACTCTGTCCTTTCACACATCTCCTGACTTCTCTGCTTAATCGTTAGGTCACCTTGGGCAAATTACACAGCTGTGCTATCTCTCAAATGCCTTCGCTGATAACAGCAGTGTCAACCTCAAAGCGCTGCTGTGAAGTCACGTGACTCAAGTGGTGCCTGATGTGTGCTTAGTGATTGTTCAGCTGTGATTACTGCTACTATCTCTCAAATTATCATCATTGCAAATAATCCTTAGGAAACCCAGGGAGGTGTTTATCACAATATCCTTTGTGGAGGAAGTGGAGGCTCAGCTCGGTTACTCCAAGACCAGCCTTCCTTCCACCCCCTACCCTACCTTGCAATGAGACTATAAATCAATGTCTGTGAGTCAGCAAAGACATCCTCCTTACATTTCTAACTTCAAAGGGGCATAATAATTGCATGTAAAATCCTTTGATCAAAAACTAGCACCTCCAGAGACAGCTGCTTTAAAAAGAACGCCAGTATTAGGCATTTAGTTGAGATAATTCGCCGTCCTGTAATGTCCCAAATGTCTTGCTGACTCAAGTAGCTGAGGGAGACCACACAATGGAAATGACACAAGTCTGGTATCAGAAAATCGGGGTTCAGTGCTTGCCCCTCAACTTATTGCTGTGAGGTTTCAGACAAGTACTTCAAGCCCTCTACTTCAAGTCATGGTTTTGAGGATTAAGCAAGAGTGTCTGTTACTGTGATGTGAACTCTGGGAAAGGTTAGGTACTATATTTATTATGGTAACCCTGCTTATTATGAATAAAATAAACCCAAAGACAAAACAATCCAATGTTTTCTGAATTGGCCATTGAACACAATAATGAACTTGACTAAAATTCTGTAGCACTTTATACCATTTTCACGTCTAGGAACCAAGAGCTACACAAAGAACACAGTGATGCTCACTCACAGACCTGTGTCTTTTCCTTCTTTCCTCCTCTGGACTCTGAGGAACACTCAGCTGTGACATCCACTCATCTCAGGCCCCTGAGAGATAAGGGATACTTTCACTCTAGGGGGCAAGAGTCTCCATTTTCACTTAATTGTATTGCTGTTAATAAGTATAGATATTTTGCTCCCAAGATACCACAAAAACTGGGGGAGAGGCCCTCCCTGGTGGCACAGCACTGAGAATCTAAAGCCACTTCCTCATGAGTTCGATCCCCGCCTGCCCCGGAGGTGACCACATGGCGCGGCAGACCTCTCCTGACCCGCCTGCTGCTCCCCTCAGCAGTGCACTTTGTCCATCTGCCTGTTTTGCTCCCCACTCTGTCTTTGGTGAAGCCTCTCACCGCCCCTGAGCCTCTAGCCTGTACCCCAGCTCTGTATGTACAAATAAATAAATATTTAAAAAAAAAAAACAACAACTGGGGGAGAGTGGGACTCAAGGCCCAACCTTTCTCACCTACACACAAAACATGAACTTCTCCACCGAGGAGAAGTGAAGCCAGAGGGAATGATACAGTGGGTGAGTGGTGTGGACACACCTTCCAATCCAGATCCCTCTCTGTGCAAACCTCCCACTCTTGCATCTCATGTTAATTCATCTCATGATGAATTACAGCTCATCGTCTTTCTTGATCGCAGCCCTACTATTCTAACTCTCCACAACCACAACAGTTTAATTTGATCTCCAAATAGGCAACTGTTTTAACCTCAGTCATTCCCCCACTAAATATAAAGGCATTGTATTTCCAAAAGAGTTAAATGGCAAGGTCTCCTGCCTCTTTCCCATCCTTGCTTTCTGAGAGCTTAAAATCAGGCTAGCAATCCTCAGGTCCAAGCAACTACATTTTGAATAGTCCCCTTGCTCCCACACACACCATGACAAAATCTAGTTTGCAACCTGGTCACTCCATAGCGAGACCTACCAGCTGGCAAGCTGTGTTCACACACAGAGATTCCAGCCACTTACTGACTCCTAACATTCAAACATCACTATGCTGTCAAAAATCAGTGAAGACATATAAAAATAGACAGGAAGAGGTAGGATTCAGGGAAAACAGAGTCAATGCAGTAAGCAGAATAATCTTTATAACAGGCAATAAAGACAAAGCAGTTTTAATATCTTCAAAGAGAAGAAAATGACAAAATTCCAAAATAAAAAATATTTAAAAGTATTTAATTGTTAAATTAAGGTATCAGACCTTAAGATTCCTGATCTTGATATTAAAGACAGTTGAAATTTACTAAAGACAGTTGAAATTTATATTATATACTAAAATTAAGACAATTGCTATTTCAAAATGTCAGTACATAGGCTAGAAGGCAGGGAAATCCTTCAGAAAGTCGAACAAAAGATCAAGGAGGTTAACGACAACAGAAAAGGGTTGGAGCTTCGATAGGGAAGATGCAGCATCTAACCATAAATAAAAAATATTGAGAAATAAACTAATAAAAATGATAAATAATAAAAGACAAATACTGAAGAACTGAAAGACATAAATTGTTAGGCCAAAAGAATTTGTAAAGTACCCAGCAACTGAATAGGAAAGGACCCATACTAGCACAAATGAAATTTCAAAATACTAGGATAACCCCAAAAGTTAATGAAAGAAAACAACAGGTCACATATTATAATAAGGCCTGAGACTGGAGGGGCCTCCCTATTGGCACAAGGGAATAAGACTCAGCACTATGAAGTTATCCGCAGCCACTGCAGCATGAGTTCTATCCCCGGCCAGGGGGCTGACCCACATGGCGCAGCAGACCTCTCCTGTCTCACCTTCTGCTCCCCTCAGCAGTGGATTTCAGTAGATCTGCCTCTTCTGCTCCCCACTCTGTCTCTGGTGAATCGTCTCACCCCTCCACACCTCTGATCTAGGCCCCGGTTCTTATATGCATAAATAAAAATAAATCTTAAAAAAAAAAAAAAAAAGGCCTGAGAATGGAAATGGCATCAGACTTGTTAAAACTAGAATGATAAAACAACAGAGTATTGACTACTTTCTTTTAAAGAGTCATTTATTTATGCAATAAGAGCTAGGGTAAAGGCTAGAGTGTGGGGGGAATTAGAAAAATATTAACAATAAAGTTCAAATAAGTTACTGGCCTCAAAACAAGTGTTTATAAATTAACCTTGTCATTTAAATTTTACACCCTCCTGTGAAGCAAGCTTCCTCCCACCTTGTCATTATGCCCCTTCAAAGTTGATGTCACCTGTGCTGGACCTTCTAGTTTCTCACATTTATCACAGGAACACACTGAAAGAACTTCATTTACCAAATCTTTAAGTTCTCTACTGGTCGTGCTTTGGGGGTTACAGTGCACATTGAATGCTGTGGCCTAACCACATGGTATCCATGGTTATTCACACAGGAGACACTGGAGACAGACCCATGCGTGGTAAGGTATCTTCATCCCACGAAGGCAATCCTTTTAAGTGACAGGTTGGCTTCAATCCCTTACAAATGCCTATGTCTACACCAAAAGACCATATTCCCTAGTTACAAATATAAGACTTTTATTAAAACGATTCCAAACCCTCTCACAATTACCTTTAAATGGATTTTTATATATAAAAACAAGAAGCATGACCAATTCCACTGGTTTGCAGTCTTCCCAAACCAGACAAGTTTAGGTATACACACTAGGATATTAGTACGGCTCAAATACACACATTTCATTTAGTATATACACAAGTAAATCTAGTTACTGATGTTAAATTTTAAAAACAGTCAAACTGACTTAATTCAAACATAGCATTTAGGAAAAGTGATTTGTTTACCTCTGTTGGTTTGTAGCAGTCTACAAGAGCTTCCTAGAATGAAATACACAGACGGTAAGTTGAATCATTTTAAAAGTGAAATTAAAAATAATTTCCGCTTTGTAAAGTTTTATGCTAAGCATGGTCACTCAAAATTTCACATTAACAATACAGAAATCCCATGTTCAACATTTATTCAGCCCTCTGAAGATAGCAAAAGCTGTACCTCTCATATGCAGTGAACACACACACACACCAACCTGGTTAATAATAAACTGTCTACATTAAGTTGAGACAGCCAGAGAGAGCTAGGGTCACGAGGACATGAGGAAGGATAATGACTCTGGACACGGGGAGCCCAGCGGACCTGGCAGTGGCTCAACCACAGACCAGTCTGTGACGTCTCTGCAGGTGGCAGTTCCCTCACCTGGGAACCAAAGGGTAGCGAAAGCCCCTTTCCAGTTCTTCATTTTAAGAAAAGAAAATTGTCATTATATTTTCTGTAGGACTAGTGCCTGCTTTAAATTTTATTACATAACTAGGATGCCAACATCTGCCAGCTAAATGGACCAACAGTAATCATTGAAACTGTTCACCATGCAAGAGACACTAGTGATTATTAACACATTAAGCACATTAATACATTAAAATGTGGCCTTTAATTGCCTTTAGGAGATCATTTGGCATTTGGTGATAACCAACAGCCGTGAACAGTAATTATCAGAGAACATTAAAAACAATGGTAAGTCAAAGGTTAATTGGCTTGAGAAACTCCCACAAGCAGATTTTAAAATGATAGATATGACCTCCTGTGGGAACAGAAATAAATGTTATTGCTCTGGACTAAGAAAACATGAGACGTCTCAACATTCACTGTTTTGCTAGTGGTGAGCGTACTCCATGGAAGGTAGTTTCGTTAAATAAAATTACAGTGCAAATAATCTTTTCTAGAAATTAATGCCATGAATATAAGCCACAGTTTCAAGAGTCCAAGGTTTAAATACTGTTTTTGTCACTCTGCCTGTCTGCCTCTCATACAGCTGTGGGACCTCACTTCCTTCTCAGGCAACTGGATCTTTGGACACAGAACCAGCTCTGTCTCCAAGATAATGCTGGAGAAACTCACACTCATAATGTGCACCAAGAACTGCATCATGACCAAAGATGTAGTCGAAGGTGAGCGCCTGGCAAGCTACTGCTTTCCTCTCTGAAAGCTACCCAATACTCGTACCAGCACTGACCTGGGGCCGGAATGACAGCATGCCAAGCTCTGGAGACCCAAGGATTCAAGCATCCAGGACCAAGGGTTCTAGATTTTGAAAGATGCTTACCCGTAATTTTACAGCTCTTTCTTCTTCACTGTCTGCATCGAGAAGATCATCAATGTCAATTTCTACATCTGGCATTTCTTCTTCCTGAGGGACAAATGTGAAGGCATTCTATTTAGTTAGAAACTGCATTGGGGGAAAGAAGAGGGAAAGGAAAGAGTAGGAGAAAGGAGGGCGGGAGACATCATTGGTATCCAAGAGATTTAAGTCACAATGCTGCAGAAAGAAGTGATATCTCAAAAAAGACAATTTCATACTGTGTAGAACTGCACGTAGGCGTATACAATGGGGAACTGGACATTTCTAGAAAGAGAAGAGACTTACAATTCCTACCCTACCTCCACCCTTCAAGAACCCCATCTCCTTTCAGGGCTTTGGATCTGGGGAAAACCGGATCCCCACTGGTTTTCTGAGGTGGGGAGCCCAGGTGGGCATGACGCTGGTCACAGCTACTGACTGTTTAAAAGGCACGGAGTCTGGGAGACATCTGGGAAAAGAAGCCCTTTCAACAGAAGCACCCCTGCAGGAGAGGGGGCTGAGGGTTCCTGGGGCCCAGAAAAGAGGCACAAGCACAAAGGGTCTGGATGATGCCACCAAGTGAAGGTCTCCAACCCCTCTGAGTCCCACCTACTACTCTCCAGCAGCCCAGTGGACTCAGGTTGGATCTTCCTGCTGCCAAGGACGTGCACTCCAGAAAGGGAGGCAGGAAAGCCTCCCTTTGGAATCTAAACTGGCCTGTGGTGGAAAGCCTCACTAATTTGGAATCTAAACTTCCAACCCAAAGTGGATCTCTCCTTTCCTCCTCCCTCACCTCCCTTGTGCCTCTGCGGACACGGATACAAAACGGACACGGATACAAAACGACGGTTAGGAAAGTGCCCTCACTCTGCATTCCACCTTCCCCTGAGACTCACCTGCGCTCCCATTCCCCGCAGGGAGCCCGAGCACCCCCGGCCCTGGGGAGGACCGCTCGGCCTGTCACGCCAGGACCCGCCCCCGCCACACGGGCAGAGCTGGGTCTACACAGCATGTGTATCCTGGCAAATTCAGCGGCATCCACAGCACAGTGTGGCTTGAATAGCCACCACATCAGCCCAAAATACCCACAGGCAGTTTCAGGTGACTCACTCAAGAAAACCAAGCAAAAGTGTTGATATGTGTAACCGTCGCCACACTCGGAAGTTTCCCCACCACCCCTTCCCCCACCCACGAAATGACATCTGGGTTCGGTATTTACACTCAGTGCGAACACAAAGGCGCTGAAGTCATGGCTTAATGAAATCGAGGACACGGCACCCGCTCAAGGAGTCAGGGAATGCAGTGTTTGCTAAAACTAAAGGACAAAGCAATCCTCCTCGGAGCAGCATGGCGACAGGTGTTCGGCTTTCCTGTCGGTTTGGTCAAAAGGCCACTTTTCACTTCTGAGGCCAAGGGCCGAGTCCCACTACCAGGAGGCACCGCATTCAGAGGTCCTCGTGAGCATCAGGCAGTTTTTGACGCAAATGCATCCTGAATCCAGATCTGAGCTGGGTAACCTTGCACAATTAAATTTGACAAATAAAGTAATAAAAATAAACATGCAGTCGTCCCCAATCTGGGGAACAATGCGAGCCAGAAGGCTGCTTTGGGTCAAGTCCCAGGCACGAACTCCAGATATATCCCGCCCTGCGCCCACATGCCGAAACCCCATGCAAGCCACGCCCAGACCAATCGCCGTTTGACAAACTTTCAACCAATCAGAATTCCAGAACTGAAAACCTCATTTGCATAACGCACTCTGCCCTTCCCCACCACCCATGCCCCTGAGTTCCTGGGACTTGGGGTGCCCTCTGAGTCTTTCTCTCCCCAGCTGCAGCCCTGGAGCTCAGAGAAAATACAGAATCTGGAAAGTTAGAAGGGCAAAGCCAGAGCAATGATGCTCAAGCTGTAACTCGACATTCTCTACAGTAGTTGACAAAATTAAGTTCATTAAAATGAAATACAATTAGCAAGTCTAGTCCTCAATCACATTCGCCTCATTTCAAGCGTTCAACAGCCACATGTAGCCAGTGACCAGTGCACTAGACAAGACAGGTTTGTACAGCTTGTGTCATCGCAGAAGTTTCCCTTGGATAGCCCTGCCCTGAAGTCCACTCTGGCCCAAGCCCTGGAAAGAAAAGCACTCTCCCTTCTCAAAGGAACTGGACAGGAAGTAAAGGAAACGCCCAGTATTTCGAGGCCATGGGCACCCCTCAAGGGTGCAAGACCCAGAAACACTGGGCTTTCCAAGTGGGAAAGCCATTGCAAACTGAGTCTTCCCTGGGTAACTATGAGCGCCCCTCCCAGCCCCAAGGCTGCCACTGTGCCCATCAAAGGCAAGAGGGAGCTTGAGTTCCCTCAGAGGGGACAAGGGGTGTGTTCTGAAGGTTGGTGATGCCAAAGCCAAACCTGGGTCAGACTTCGAGGTGGCACATCAGCAGAGTCCTAGGAAGCAAGGACTCAGTGCCAGCTACAGAGCCCTGTGTCTATTGCAGTGGTACGTATTTTTCATGAGGAACATGGAAATACTCTAAAGTCTGCTGAGATTCTCTTTAGTTCTACTTTTAGTCTGTTGCTCTGCGAACAGTTCACTAAACATGACAGATTACATACCACTTCCAAGGGTGTGGCCACACCCACAACCCACTGTGGTGTACCAGACTGTGGTTTTGTGTGGGGATTTCCTCGAGTTAAGAATGAGTCCCCAAACTGCGGTTGTGATGATAAGTAGTAAAACAAGCACTTCAGGGTCACTGGTTCACCAGCTGACATCACCCTAGATTTAGTCAGAGGTGCTCCTGTTGGCACCCACAGAATAAAACCCTTGGTCATTTTCATGCTTCCTCTGTTCGGAAATCTGGTGGAAATCCACCAGTGTGAGACATTAAGTGTCTTGTTTAGGCAGGAAACAGTGTAACCTACAACATCACCAAAGACAGCACAAGCCTGATTGCTGTAGGAATTAGGGAGAGGGAAGACTTCTCCGGGCAGGCAGGGCGGACTGCGCAGAAGGACAAGGATGTAAGCTGGCTGTACATCCTGAAATGGCAGGATTGGGGCAGGTGTAGGGCTGGGGAGGAGGCACCCACACCTGGCAAAGAGATACACAGAAGACAAAAATACAAGCTCCGTTCTAAACACAGGGTGTAAAGGGCCCTTGGTCTCGGAGTCTGAGCTCTCAGGCTGCAGATATTAATGCCTGTGGAGGCCAGGCAGGTACCAGAAATCAGAACTGGGCAGATTGAGGTGCTATAAGGGGTTGTGGGAAGTGGGGCAAACTGGAGAGAAAAGGCCTCCACCTCCCATCCCCAGTGGGAGCAAAGAACATTTCATTCCTGCCTCTTCCATCTTTAAAGAGCATATACTCCAATGCTACACACTGTCCACATCTTGAGGAAAAGGGAGACATGCAGGTTTTTCTAGCCAGTCCTCAAAACAAGCAGTGTCAGCCTACAGCCTGCCAGTTTCTCCTCATCCTGCAACGTCTGTAGGCATTAAGGGCTCCAGAGCAATGGAGAGAACAAAACATTTGCAGCCTAGAACTGTCTGGCTCCCAGGCCAAAGCAGAGGGAGGGCTGGCCTAGCTGCAAGGGCCCAGCCAGAGGCAGGTGCCAGGAGGCCCCGGAGCCACCACTCTCCCTGCTGTGTGCCAACGGGGCTCACAGGCAAGTTGTGCAAAAACAAAAAGGATTTTTTGTTTGTTTGAGACAAACAGGGACAGGAAATCAGAATCTGAAGATTGAGCTGGTTGTTGGGGGAGGGAGAAGGATCAGTAAAGAGAGCTCCAGGTTTTGAGCTTCTGGAGAAAGAGCCAGGCAGGTTCTCAACACAGTGGTCCTGAAATGAATAAACACACACATCACACTCAACATGTGCGCACACACATACAAACAGCACACATCACAAGCAGCTCTACTTTAATGACAATCCCAAAAGATTTTGTGTGCACATGTATTCTAAGAATCAGCTGGAAGCGATCCTGTAGTAGCTAAGATGTCCCCAGGAGGCTCAGCGTCTAGCTGCGACACGTTACTTGTCATGGGCTAGTGAGGAAAAGGCCAAAGGGCAGATTTAATATGTGTGACTCATTCATGACAAGTGAAGCCAGAAGCCATAGGAAAGGTCACAGAGCATCTGTATCTAGCTCCTAGCAGAGAAGGAAGGATGTCCCCACCAGAGAACATTCATGCTGCACATTTGGTTGGGTGCTGAGTGTTTAATTTGCAATTTTGAATCTTTTTTATAATTGGAAAAATCATAGGCACAGAGAGTTTGCATTGGCTCTAAGTACGGCATACTTAAATATTATAAAATGATTAAATCAGCCCTGGAATCTGCAAGAAAATGTTTCCATTTAAACAGGAGCCCAGCCTACCCTTCAGAAAATCACTGCAAGGTATCAGAGCAGAGGGGTGCAGGGGGGTTCCTGGAAACTCTGGAAAGGAAACAGGTCACACACAGGACAGAAAAGCCCTGGCCCCAGCCTCCCAAAAGGTCTGTCACAGCCGGATATCAAGGAGACAGTAAGGCCAAAATGTTCAAACCATTTCCAACCTGGAAGCCTCATCACCCCCAAACTGTCAGCCGACAGAGGACCTGTATGTCTTATGTGTTAATATATTCGTCTCCCATTTTTAGAAGAAATAAACTAATATTTGACCCATGGACCACCCATTTATTTAGGGGTGCCCACCCCCACTCACCCCTGTGTAGTCAAAAATCTGAGTCTAACTTTGAACTCCCCGAAAACTTAACTATGAATAGCCGATTTTGCCTGGCAGCCTTGCTAATAGCATAAATAGCTGATGAACATAAACTGTAAGCTTAGGAAAAAAATCCTAAGGAAGGGAATCCCCCTGGAAAGCCCTACTATATCACCATGTGAACAGGTAAACAGACGGGGTGTATTCAACTGCCCTCTTGTGGGGGTCAGTTATAAGAATGTCACTGGTAGCTGAAGGCCGGGAGGTCTGTACTAAAGCCAAGGAGGGCCAGGAAGTGAAGAACCCGGCTGTGGAGGCTTAAAGAGCTGAAAGTTGAGCCTCATTTCTTAACCTGGGAACGAGGTT